ATTTTGGGGGTTCTTGGGATCAGTTTTTGCCACTCGCGGAGTTTGCCTTCAACAACAGCTATGAGTCAAGCATTCAGATGGCTCTGTATGAGGCTTTGTATGGGAGACGGTGTCGATCTCCGGTGGGTTGGTTTGAGCCGGGTAAGGCTAGGCTATTGGGTACTCACTTGGTTCAGGATGCTTCAGACAAGGTTAAATTGATTCAGGATCGGCTTCGCACGGCGTAGTCTAGACAGGAGAGTTATGCCTATAGAAAGGTTCATGATGTTGCTTTCATGATTGGGGAAAAGGTATTGCTCAAGGTTTCACCCATGAAGGGTGTTATGAGGTTCAAGAAGAAGAGCAAGTTGAGCCCTCGGTATATTGGGCCGTTTGAGGCACTTCAGAGGATTGGAGAGGTGGCTTACAAGCTTTCCTTGCCACCTAGTTTGTCGAGTGTGCATCCAGTATTTCATGTTTCTATGCTCCAAAAGTATGTCGGCGATCTGTCTCATGTTTTGGATTTCAGCGCGGTCTAGTTGGATGGTGATTTGACTTATGATGTGGAGCCGATATCCATTTTGGATCAGCAGGTTCGAAAGTTGAGGTCAAAGGACATAGCTTCAATGAAGGTGTAGTGGAGAGGTCAGCCAGTTGAGGAGGTAACATGGGATACCGAGCGGGAGATGCGGAGCAGATATCCACACCTATTTAAGACTCCAGGTTCGTTTCTAGACTCGTTGGAGGATGAACGTTTGTTTAAGGGGGGGAGAATATAACGACCCAGATGGTCATTTTTGATATTTGTAGCCCCTTTCCCTTATTTACTTCTCAATTTACTTTATAGTTGTTATGTGACTTGCTGGGGTAGTCGGTTCGGGTCCGGGGAAATTTCAAAATGAAATGAGATACTTAGTCTCGACATTAAAAGCTTAAGTTGAAATATGACTTGTGTGCAAAATTTGGGGTCAATCAAACGTGATTTGATAGGTTTCGGCGCCGTTGGAAGAAGTTAGAATTTCTTAGTTTCAATAGGCTTGAATTGGGGTGTGATTCGTATTTTTGATATTGTTTAAGATTATTTGAGAGCTCGACTAAGTTCATATCGTGTTTTAGGACTTTTTTGTATGTTTGGTTGAGGTCCCAGGGACCTCGGGTTGATTTCGGATGGTTTTCAGATCAAAGTTTGAGTTTGAGAGACTATTGTAGTTGAAGCCTTCTCGTGCAATCGCACCTGCGGAATATTGGTCGTAGGTGTGAGCTCGCAGAAGCGAGCTAGGAAGCATAGATGAAGAGGATTGTACTAGGGACTGTGGAGTGTAGATGCAGAAGGTATTATGCAGGTACGGACTCGCACCTGCGCTTGGAGGGTTGCAGAAGCGGAAGTAGGAGTGATGAGGCTAGACCGCAGAATCAGGTTTGTTTGCGCAGATGCACGCCTGCAGAAGCGGGGGTTCGGTCGCTGAAGCGGTTGGGCAGCTTAGTGGCCTCCATAGATACGGAGGATGGACCGCAAAAGCGATACCGTAGAAGCGGTTATAGTGGCCTCAGAAGCAAGAATACTTGACAGAACACTTAAATTCAAGGGCTTGCGATTTTGCTTCATTTTAAACATTTCAAGCTCGGGTTTAGGCGATTCTTGAGAGGATGTTCGAGGGGTTTCTTGAGGTAAGTCCCTTGTGCTTATTTTTTATCAATAATCTTGTTTCCCCATTGAATTTTCCACTTAGTTTGTCTGTATTTAAGGTGGTATTTGGGAGTTTGAGGCTAGGGATTTAGAGAGTTTGATTTGGGGATTTGAGTGATGATTTGGAGTCGGATTTTAGGTATTTTTGGTATGGTTGGACTCGTAGATGAATGGGCTTTCGGTTTTTATGACTTTTATCGAATTTCGAGATGTGGTCCCTGGGGACGGTTTTTTATTAATATCTTAGTATTTTTCTTCTGGAAATGATTTTTTTAGCCCGTGTTGATTATATCGAATTGTTTATGGCTAGATTCGAGGCATTCGGAGGCCGTTTCGCGAGGCAAGGGTGTGTTTGAGTAGAGATTTGCTCGGATTGAGGTAAGTAACAGTTCTAAATTTGGTTCTGAGAGTATGAAACCCTGTATTATGTGTCATGTGTTTGGTTTTGAGGTGACGCACATGTTAGGTGACAGGCGTGTGGGCGTGCACCGTAGGAATTGTGACTTGGTCAATTCCATGAAACTGTGTAGTTGAATAATCTGTTGTTATCCGTACATTCTCCACGTATTAGAGAAATTGAACTGCAAATCATGTTAGAAATCATGTTTAGACCATGTGTTGGCACTGTAAGGACCCACAGAGGTCGCGTACATGTTGAATTATTTGCTAAATTATTGTTTTGTACTCAGTCGAAGTTTTATTTGCATATCATATCTCAGTCTCTATTGTTCATTGTTGATACATTATATCTTTTCTGTTTGGGTTGCTTTTCATGATTTTTGAGAGCCCGAGAGACTAGAGAGGTTGATGACTGAGTGAGGCCGAGGGCCTAATTGTGAGGATATTTATGGGATCGGGTTACACGCCGCAACATGTTTCATTGATTTATGCCATGATTGGCTTGTTACAGCGCTTGGGCTGAAGGAGCCCCTCCGGAATCTATACACACCCACAGTGAGCGCAGGTACCTACTGAGTGTGAGTGCCGAGTGTCGAGTGCTGAGCAATTGAGAGGAATGAGTGATTGTGAGGAATCAGTGATTGTGAGGTTGGAGTGAATGGGAGGACTGGGTGACCGTTGCTCTGAGATGATGCATTTGACTTTCATTTTTGTTGCACTTCAGCTGTCATATATCATTGTATTGTAATTTCTGTGAGATATTATATTTTGTTTCACTTGAACTTGACATGGATTAATTGTTATGGCCTAAATTATTAAACTTGAAAGCATGCCTTCCTTCCTATATTGAAATTACTGTACTTGAACTATAATTGTGAAACTCTTCGCTACTTTTAGTCCTTTGTTTAGTCTTATTACTTACTAAGTTGGTTGTACTCACGCTACACCATGCACTTCATGTGTAGATCCGGGTATTTCCGGACACGGTGGGTGTTGATTCCTTCGCGCAGTTGATCTTTTGGGAGATTTCAAGGTAGTTACCCGGCGTTTCGCAGACCTTGTCTCTCATTCCCTATCTTTCCATTTTATGTATTTAGTTTCAGACTATTATAGACAGTACTCCCGGATTTGTGATGTTTAGACGCTCATGTACTCACTGACACCCCGATGTTGGGAATTTCTGTATTGGTTTTGGCTTTCTATCCATTTTGAGAGTTTTGTTGATGAAAATCTGTGTTATTATTATTTTTCATTTTAAAATGTGGAAGTATTTTGAAGTATCGGCTTGCCTAGTACCACATTAGGCGTCATCACAACAGGCTAAGTTTTGGGCGGTGACAACCACGGTCTAGAATCTAACTTTTGTGTTGGTAATTCTCACAATGTCAATTTGCATTTATGTAAAAAAATTATAAATATCTCAAGTTCTGTGACAAAAAAAGTTTAGTATTCAAACTTTACACATAACTTTCCTTAACCACTCAGCAGTGGACACAAAACCGGACAAATCACTATCTTAACCTGTTCCACGACCCGGACCCGTATGGTGACCCGTTTGAATTTACCTTTACTGGTCATATTTTCCGATAATAGCAAAAATTGATTTATTCAATAATCAAAAAACACCCACAAAGTATTGCAAAATGCTAAAATTCCATCCATATGTTGACACGTTCGTAAAATATCCAAACCAATAAAACAGTATATATATATATATATNTAGTATTTTAAGATTACAATTTGCAAAATTCTTCCTTTTTAAAAAATATATATATGATCAAATGCTTCCATTAAAATTGAAACGAAGGAAATAGCTATTAGATATTCTGAACTGAAAAGAAAAAAAGAGTAAGGAGAGCATCACAAGCCAACAGATTTTCATGACAATAACATTAGGATGTGATTCTTGAGCCGAAAGTCTATGAAAAATAATATTTTCCTTGGCCGGTTGTATATATTTTTATCTGGCTAAGAGCAACTCCAACATTGTCCCCAAAATGGGGATTTTCCCATTTTTGGAGATAAAAATGGTTAAATTTCACTCCAACTCTCCCCCATATTTGTCCCCAGAATGGGTCATCTCCCCATTTACTATTTTTCATTAAAATATTATTATTTTTATTATTTAATCTTTTAATTTATCTTTTTATATATATTTAATTATGTTTATATAATATATTTACCTAATTAATTTTTCATCTTAACTTTGACGTACAATTTTGAAAAATTAATTATCTTGCATCTATTTTGTTTATGTAAAATTGGTAGTTAATTTTATTATGAGTTATAATTGTATGAAAAAGAAGAATTAAGGACAAAGATTTCAAGAATTTTTAGCTCGACATAGAAGAATTAAGGACAAAGATTTCAAGAATTTTTAGCTCGACATAGAAGAATTAAGGACGAAGATGCCCATTTTACACTTCGTAATGCATTAATAGATTATTTATGGGAGAATACTAGAGGTTGAAGTTGAATATTTATGTAGTATTTCGAATAAATTTTATCGTTATGTAATATGTATTTAATTAATCTTGTATCACAATAATTTCACTTTTATTTGAATTATTAGTTAATCTATAATAATTGCTTACAAATTATATTATTTAAAATTTTATGAAATTATTTTAATGAAAATTACAAATTAATGAAAATAAAAGATGGAATTTGTTTAATGAAAATTAAAAAATAAAATTAAAATGAAAGATAATAATATAATATAGAAGAAAGAGAAGAATATAAAAAAGAATATTCTCTTTTGGGGGAAAAAATGGGGGAATGGTTTGAGTAAGTTATCCCCAAAATGGGGAAATACCCATTTTGGGGACCAAAATGGTGTAAAGGTCGGAGATGGCCTAACATTATATACATTATCATTGCAGGTTGTAACATTGGAATGTTACCAAGTAAATTTTTTTGACAATAACAAGAATGCTTCCAAAAATCAGAACAATAAAAGAATAGTATAAATTATTTACAATACTAAAATTCCATCTATATAGACCCAATGTTAAAATATCCTGGCAATATTACACTATATCTACATCTTGATATTTCAAAAGCCATCATATCTGATATTTCATCAAACTATAAACTATAGCATTATTATCTAATCCCAACTTTTAACATAACCCATTTAGCCCTTGCATTTTTTCTTATTTCAACATTCACCCTCTTAACTTTTCATCTGGCTAACATTATATACATTATTGCTCTTATAGACAAAGCTATCAAACACTGGCCTTCTTGGGAGAAAGCACTAGTGTTTGGTTTGGTGTATGTGGGGGATTTATTCTAATTTGGTGTATAAAAGGACTTAATATTCTATGAGTAGTCCTCCCATTGGGGATCTATGTGGAATTCCCTTTCTTCGCTTGGCCGTTTTGTAATTAACTGAAGTTGGAGGGGGCGTCGACGGAGTAAAACTTTGGACCTTGTTGCTGTGGCTCTTGTACCTACCATGGCTGCTGCTGCTGTAAGAGTCATCGGAGTCCGATGCCGCCACCATCGACCGCCGCCTTTTCGCGGATAATTGCTTCGGTTTCTTAACGAAGTTCTTTGAGGACCCGACAACCTGCAATGATCAAGGTAGAATCGACTATATAAATCACCTATATTCATTCTGTTCTGTTCGGATAACAACCCAGTAAAATCCCGCAGGTAAGGAGTCTAGGGAGGGTAGTGTGTGCACGGACCTTACCCCTACCCCGATAGAGTAGAGGTGAGGTTTCCAATAGACCCTCGGCTCAAGAAAACGAAAAAGACGAAAAAGACAATATATACCATCAACACAAAACATAGAATTCTGCTCTATTCGGACCAATTCAATAATTCACATAATATTTATTGTATATCAAAGATTGCTAATAATCAAAGATTTGAATATCATTTCCATTTGGGGTACACAATAACTGCAAGAAAGAGTCATTGATAATTACAATGTCTAACAACTTTGAAATTTCCAATTAAAAAAAGTTGATTATGCCAAAGTTTTCCTATCAATAGACTAGTAAATATGAGTGCAATTTCCACGCCCCATTTAATTGCTTCACATTTGTCAAACCACACTATCAACGACCATTAAACCAAAATATACCTTGAAATATACGCAATTCAATATATTTGGACACGCCTAATTCAATTCAATGCCAGTAAAAGTCAAAATTAATGCAAGAAAATTTGGTCAAGATGAAAAAAATGGAACAATTTAATGAAACTCTAGAAGGGAATTTTCTTTTAGAACAATTAACTTAAATAGCAATCCACTCAACTGTTTAAATTAAAAATAGCCTCCGTATGTATAACATATGCATAATCTATATAATATGTTTATAACCGTGTATAATTAATATATATCAGACTTGAAAAAGTAAACAGTATTGTACCTTGCAACCAAGAGAGCAGAATTTGAAGGAATCAAGAAGGCTCCTTTCACAAACTTGACAAGTATTTGTTACACCTTTGCCTGGCCTAGGTTGTGGCCTTTCATTCAAAAAGACAACCTTAGCACTGTTGATAATGTATGTTTGGACTGAAGAAATGTCCAAATACTTTTGAATTTCATTCACCCTTATCACATCATGGTATGATGACCTCCTTATCTGTCCAACCAAACAAAAACAGATCACTCAAAATCAATCATTCATAATTTCAAGACTTCTTCTTTGGCATATCAAAGCTATACACCATGTAAAATGACAATTTAGGGGTTCAATTGAATCACTTTCATCGAAAAATTATACTCAAAAGTAGGTCAAAAATAAACTTTTTTGCATTTTGAAAATTTTTTACATAAAAAAAGATTTTAGTATAGTGGCAAAGGCAGGTTAAAAATTGCTTAAAATAACATGATCAAACTTTAGGTGTGACACTTTAGCATTTTCTTGAACCCCGTTGTTAGAATTTCTGGCTTTCGTCACCATATAGAATGTGTAGCTATAGACCCTCGTTAAAATTTCTAACTTCGCCATTGTATACACTGTATACCAAAAGGCCTGCCGATGCACAAGAGATTTCATATTCACTCGGAATCCGAAAAAGTGCCGCACCCCTAGGGATGTGATGTGACATAAACAGACTACCCTAATACAAGCATTAGTTGCTGCTAAACAGGAAGAACTAAAGGAAAAATTTGTTACAAATTGACATAAAAAGACCATTTTTCTATGAAGGAAAAATGAGATACCTGAATAGCAATATGGTCCTTGTGATGTGCTAAACAAAGAGAACAAAGAGGGCCATTTATACAATCAAGACAATACATATTGCATTCACTCTTGTGAGAATCAGCATGTAATTTGCAATGGCCAAAGAATTTTTCTTTAAGCAATGGCTTTAACCATAGTGGCCAATTATTTTCCTCTTCATCAGGTATTCCAGCTCCCTAATACCAAAAAAGAGACACAATTTTAAAATAAATGAACAAAAAGAGAGTTGAAAGCAATCAAATTGATGAAAATTTTTAATAAAAAGAATTAAAGGAGTTTTGGGGGTTGTTGAAATTTACCATTATTTTTCTGCTCTTAGGCTTGAGTTCTAAGACTGGAATCTTGATTATCAATCGCCAGTTTGAAAAACTTTAGTAGCAAAGCTCTGGTTTTTCTGCTCCAATTTGTTTAGAGAGAGAGAGAGATGTTTGGTTTTTGGAAAGTTTAGGAAATAAGAGAGAGAAAGGAGGGTACTTGTAATGGGATGGAAAAAAGAGGTGGGTTGGGTTGGTTTTGGGGGAGGGGGGGAAGGTTGGGTGGGAAAAAAAGTCAATAAATATCTCTAAGACAAAGAAAAAAGAAATATCTCCAACAAAATGAGAAGGCTTTCATAAAATAACTTTACTATATTATATTTAAAGAAAAGAATTTAGTAAACTAGTAAAAGAGTCGATAAAATGGTATTTGCACAAATAATCCTTATATATGGCTACCATTTAAGTTCTGCTCTCGTTAGTTTAGTACAATAATGCATCCAGCATATTTGTAAGAGTGTGTATACAAATCTTACCCTTATTTCATGGTGATAGAGAAATTATTTTAGATAGATTCTCGGCTAAAATAAACTAAATTTATCTACAAAAAGAAAGAATTATATCAGACTAGCTTTAAAAGTGAGCCAACTAAACTAATAAGGACATAATTTAAAGAGTGGACTCCAAAAAAAAAGTATAGGTTGCAAATAATCTATCATTATGGAATTGAACTCGCGCGGATAAGATTTGGACCGCAACAATCCAACTAGTAATATTTTTCGCTTTATGTCTAGGTCTGCACGGCTTTAAAATACGTCATTAGAGTCTAAGATCTGTTTACTTATATACCCAGCAATTCTCTCGTGTTTGTCGATGTGAAATTTGTCTAAGGTGTCACATGGACCTTATGAGTTATGACAAAATTGTGAATTTCTCTCCCTGCTCGTTAAATTTACGTGAGGCCGTTGAGTTTGCACGTAAATAAATATAATTTTTTTCAACTTAAAGATGAAAATATAATACTTATCTTAAGCATAAATTAGTAATACAAAAAATAAAACGATGATTTGTTACAATCGATTAAATTATATTATTTATGTAAACAAAAATTATATCATTGTACATAATTTAAATTGCATTATATAGTTCTTTGACCGTGGGGCTCTCGACAAGTGCGTAGGTGAACAAAGTAGAAGTTCGTTTGTTCTTATCCTTTTGAAGTCACACGTAACAGAATTCCAAACCAAACTCCGAGGCAAAACCAAGAGATTCATTTGTACAAGGAACCGAGCCGACCTCTATCTTTCCTTTTAAATTTTCCATTTTATTGTCAAAATGTTTTTTCTTTTTTCTTTTAACCATGTATTTCATACTCATTGATTCAATTAATTCGGATTCGCACACATAATATTCATTAAAGAGAGGAACATTTTCTATTCGGTAATTACACATTGTCATAACTTGAATACGAGATCTTCGCTTAAAAGTAGAGGGATCAAATCCATCTCACCTCTGGTGGATGCAGTAGTCGGGCGCCGAATTCACTGAACTCGATATTTTCGACGCGAAATATAAATTTATATATAAAAATTCACTATACAGATATTAAGTTTAAACACATAATTTTAAAAATACGATAGGATCGATACTAAGAAACTTAAAAAATTGAAACCACTTTAACTTAAATTTTAAACCCACATATGCCGACCTCATTCCTTGATGATCAATTTCAACGTGGTACATATTCTTTCTTAGGTCTTATCAATACTATTGTTTTCCTTTTTATTCCTCCTTTTGTTCTCTTAATTATATAATTATAATAATATAATTATAATACTATTGTATTAGTTGTAGTTCACGATATAATCATGTCCTTTATCTTTTTTCTAATATTTAAGGCTAGGGGTATTTTCAATAGTGAGTTGGCATATTATTTTTTGTTAACAAATTTGGTATCTTTAGTTCATTAATGACCATTAAGGTGTTGTTAAAGTGGGCATAGCATATATGTGGAACAAATATTCTTCGTATCTTTAATCATTATTTTAAAATCGGGAATATCACTTCGTTTTTGATTTGTTTCTCCTTTTATTTAAAAGAAATTTCTAGTTCCAAATATCATGTTTTTACTTTCTAGCTACCAACCTAATCAAACTTCGTTTTGCTTTCTCTATTATATGTGAGGCAACTTTAGGTGCCTAATAATATGTTTACATCTTATATGGATTTATTAAAACGATGGATTTATTAGACGAGAAAATAGAAAAGAATAAATTTGAATAGGAAATGAAGAAAAAATATTTAGTTATAAATATATGAATGCTCTCTACACATATCTGCTTCTCCACACATAAAATAAGCTACCAATAGACTTATTTATAATAGTACGAAACTAATTTTAACTAGAAACATAAAAATATATTTTTATGTAATTATGACTATAAATCCTATTTAGACATGAATAATTTGCAAATACCAAATCCTAAATAATTTTAATTTTTTACTACAACTTTGAATTAGTTTTCCAACAGAAAATTTTCTTTGATCAAAATCTTAACGACTCTATGAGAGCGAGAGGAAATTCTCATATATATATATATNACGATTTTTTGGTAACATTAATTTCCGAGTATTTTCATCAATTTTTCAAAGACCAAACTAATCGACAAGATAGAGGACCATTACCTAACATTACTTTTAGAATAATGTTTTAAATAAATAAAAAAAAGTGTCCCACTAATTAGATGCAATTGATCAAACAGATATGTTTCTTTGTTGAGCAAATTAATGCCACATATTGGTTTTAAAAGTTGGCCATTAGAATCAATTCTTTAGTTTAGGTCACTGATTAAGAAAATGCTATATTTCCTTTTCCATGTCAATGGGTTTGTGGTTTGTGACAGTTCAATCCACCTCATGAAAACAAAAGGTTTCAATTATTGGGGCAATTTGATCATTTTAGTATGGTATTCCTTTGTCATTTTAAAGTTATAATTAAATCATAATATACTAAAATAAGGTATTAGATTAGAGATAAAGAAAGAAGATAAGCACTGAAGGTGTTTTTTTCTTTTAATTGTTTTATTACATCAGGGCCGTGTAGAAAAAATAAAAAGGAAATGCTACGTTATTGATGTTATTTAAATCCTCCACTTTAAATGTGGAAGGCAGGAATTATTTTACTTCGTTTTTTATTGAAATTTTGATTTTGCGATAAATAAATCTAGGATTATCTTATACCATAGTTTTGGTGTTATTTTATACCACATTCAATGTGGATAACATTAAAGCATTAACTAATATCTCAATAAAATAACCAAATAACAAAGATGTCCTGAAATAAGATTACTGATAAAATTGAAAATAAAGTTTATTCAAATTTATTCAGTTTCAGATTAAATACGTGTTTTGAATTATAAATCATATATCTCATTTTTAATGTAATGAATTAATCAAAACATCAGTAAAAAATAATTCATGGATTGTTTTTTGGGTATTGTTTTGGAGAAATGGTCCCATTAACTAAATAGTCAGTCTCAACTCTTACAATTTTCCTCCTCAAATTGTGGTAATATAAATTTCTTCCACAACTCATCATTTATGAATTTTCACAAGGTTTATCCGACACGAATTTGTTTTAGTAAAACTTTGCACATGAATCTTTTTCATAAAAATTTCAGTTAATACTAATATTATCAAGTAACGCCAATATCCACGGGTCCATTCCTATCCAAAAACTTTATTTTAAAAAAAGGATTTTTTTTTTAATTTTATACACTACTTGAAACCTTATTATGAAAAATGTCCATGTTTTGGTATTTGCCCGACCTAAACACATTTTAGTTACAAAATATATATAATTCATCTTAAAAGGTTCCCAATCCATTATTTGTGTCTTCAATCAAGGGATTTAATTACACACTTTTCTTTTTTTTCTCTCATTTCTCCCCTCTTCTCTCCAAACAGTAGAATTAATGAATTTCTCTCACCCTAATCCTAATTAAACCTAGAGGGTTGTCCTTTTCTTTTTATTTCCTTTCTCGTACTCTTTTTCATTCTTATGCACCTTATGGCGAAGTGAAATATAGTTATATGACAAGGTTTCCTATAATGATTGGAAGTAGGAGTTAGTAATTTTTTTTTGTTTCAGGTTAGGAAAAGGATCAATACTTGATGGGATGATCTCGACCGTTTATATCTCTTTCAACTTCAGTTTTTGCTCATTCGTGGTGATTTATTGTACTTTCATAATTGTTAAAATAGATTAATAGAACTATTTGTTGCCAAAACGAGAAAAAAGAAAAGAAAAATGGGGGATGAATATAAGTGTTTTTCTTTTCTGGCAAGTTCAACACTGATTATTTATGTTTATTTTTGTTTCCAAAACAAATATAGTTGTAATAGTTAAAATTTCATAAAAATAGATGCTTGATGATCAAGAGATCGCATAATTAACAAAGCCAAACTTAATATAAATATGATTAATCAAAATGTTCATCATTCTCCTGTTATGTATTTAAAAACACAAATCTAAACAGTAGGCTTTTTCTATTTTTTTTAAAACTTTTTAAAAGAAACTTTAACTTGAAGATCGGCATAGACATTGCGCAAGAGATTAATATAGAAGATACAGAGAATTTTTGGTAGCTAGCTTCCTTGGAAAATTTTAATTTACAACTTATCTATAACTTTCAAACATTATTTCTATCCAATTAAATACAACTACGATATCATACAACTTAAATACAAATTTTATATAAATTTTATACAATATGTATTTTGTATATTTTGTATCTGATTTATACATAGTAAAAATAAATTTCATACAACTAATTATATATTATTCAATTTATCTACAACTTATCTACATCTTTCATACATTATTTCTACGCAATTATATACAACTACAATATCATACCACTTAACTACAATTTTTATACAAATTTTATACAGTATGTCTTTTGTATATTTTGCATCTGATTTATACATAGTAAAAACATATTTCATACAACTAATTATATATTATTTAATTTATCTACAACTTATCTACAACTTTCATACATTATTTCTACCTAGTTATATACAACTACAATATCATACTACTTAACTACAATTTTTATACAAATTTTATACAATATGTCTTTTGTATGTTTTGTGTCTGATTTATACATAGTAAAAACAAATTTCATACAACTAATTATATATTATACAACTTATCTAC